ACCGGGGTGCCTCCTTTGGCGCAGTCGCCTCCTTTGGCGCAAAGGAGGCGACTGCGCCAAAGGAGGCGACTGCGCCAAAGGAGGCGACTGCGCCAAAGGAGGCGACTGAACCCCGGTGGCGGTCCCCAGAGGCGACCGCGCCCCGGTGGCGGCCGCGAGGTCTGCGGCCTGTAACCTTCCTGTCCGTCTCTGCAGGCATGTCAGGACTTGAAGGGACAGTTTATCGGGACAGCTTGCAGTGATAAAGGACCCTTCGTCCCAGATGTCCTCTTCTGGTCCGTCATCCTCTTCTTCGCCACTTTCTTCCTCTCCTCCTTCCTCAAACAATTCAAGACCAAGAGATACTTCCCAACCAAGGTCAGTCCCTCTGCATTCTGCTTCACGGACCTGCTGGTTCTGCTTCACGGACCCTCTGTTTCTGTCTACAGGTGCGGTCGACCATTAGTGACTTCGCCGTCTTCCTGACCATCATGGTCATGGTGCTGCTGGATTACCTGGTGGGAATTCCTTCTCCCAAGCTGGAAGTCCCGGAGCGATTCGAGGTGATCCACCTTCAGGTTGACGTTCTCGGTTTCAGTGGAGTGTCTGCACTTCCTTAAAGCCTTTAAAAGTTTTAAATTCACTGGAAAAATGTATGTTGGCCTTTAATATATGACTTACTTTGTGACTCATGGCGGCTGAGACTCCTGTATGCTATCTAGCCATTTAGCAGTTTTGCGTCTGTCATAGGTTAAGTCCAAATGTATCTCCAGTTGGCTGACTTCTGTTGCAATGCTACATGCATTCTGTGCTAAAACGCTAGCCACTAAGGGATTAAGACTGTAAAGAGCCATTTCCAATACAATAAGCAATAAGCCGCAAATTTTATTTGTACATTTTAGTGTTTTCTTCCCTTCTGAATACTCTGGATAAGGATCGGGTTCTAGGTACATTTATAGCATTCTATTGGCGTTTGTTGCCCTCCGTTGGCGTCTGCCGCCTTCCTCTAAGAGCGTCCGCTGGGTTGTAATGGCGTCCGCTGGGTTGTAATGGCGTCCACTGGGTTGTCTGCAGCCCACCACCAGCGACCGGTCCTGGCTGGTTTCGCCACTCGGCAACAACCCCTGGTGGACGCTGCTGGCGGCCGTCATCCCCGCTCTGCTCTGCACCATCCTGATCTTCATGGACCAGCAGATCACCGCCATCATCATCAACAGGAAGGAGAACAAACTGAAGGTGGGTGGGGCAGCTGGTAGCCGTGGTCCGGTCTCGGGTTGGGCCTCTGTGGTTCTAACCCAGTGTGTGTCTCCCTGCAGAAGGGCTGTGGGTACCACCTGGATCTGCTAGTGGTGGCAGTCATGCTGGGGGTCTGCTCCATCCTGGGCCTGCCCTGGTTCGTGGCGGCCACCGTCCTCTCCATCTCCCACGTCAACAGCCTGAAGGTGGAGTCGGGCTGCGCCGCACCCGGAGAGCAACCCAAGTTCCTGGGCATCCGGGAGCAACGAGTGACGGGATTCATGATCTTCATCCTGATGGGCTGCTCCGTCTTCATGACGTCCGCGCTCAAGGTGGACATCTGGTTGGACATCGAACGTCCGGCCCGGCGTTCCGATGGACGCAGTAACAAACGTCTCCTTTTCGTCCCCAGCTCATCCCGATGCCCGTCCTCTATGGAGTCTTCCTCTACATGGGAGTGTCGTCACTCAAAGGCATCCAGGTTCATTTCTAGTTTTTTGTCTTTTTAATTTATTCCCAAATTTGTCCTCTGAAGTTACTCAGCGAGTAGCGTAACGAAATGTTGTTAATAATAATATTACTGAAGTCAGAAGTTCCTCTGAACATTTCCTGGTCTTTCAGCTCTTCGACCGGATCAAGCTGTTCGGCATGCCGGCCAAGCACCAGCCGGACCTCATCTACCTGCGCTACGTCCCGCTCTGGAAGGTCCACGTCTTCACCACCGTCCAGCTGTCCTGCCTCATCATCCTCTGGGCCATCAAGGCGACAGAAGCCGCTGTCATCTTCCCCATGATGGTGAGGCCGTGTCACCCTCCGTCTACCCCCACCTGAACGGCGCCACTCACCGCCGTCCCGCCTCTCCCTGCAGGTTCTGGCGCTCGTCTTCATCCGGAAGCTTCTGGACTTTTGCTTCACCAAGAGAGAGCTGAGCTGGCTGGACGACCTGATCCCCGAGAGCAAGAAGAAGAAGGACGACGACAAGAAGAAGAAGGAGGAGGTGAGGCGCTCTGATTGGTCCTTTGGCTCTGATTGGTCCTTTGGCTCTGATTGGTCCTTTGGCTCTGGCTCTGATTGGCTCTGCGTTCTGATTGGCTGTCTGCAGGACGCCCAGCGGATGATGGAGGAAGCGGAGGACGAGCCGCCCTACGAGCCTCAGAGCATCCTGAAGTTCCCCATCAAGTCGCTGAAGGACAGGTGAGTCGAACATGCTGCCTCCTCTGAGTGAGCTCTGCTGCAGGCGATGACCCGGTTCTGGTTCTGGATCTGGTTCTGTTGGTCCTGCAGGTCCGACCCATCTGAGGTCAACATCTCTGATGAAATGTCCAAAAGTGGAATCTGGAAATCCGTTTCCAAGAACTCTGAGGGAGGAAAGGCTCTGAAACGCTGCAAGAGGTGACAATGACATCACTGCCTGCGGCCGCTCTGATTGGTCCAGGAGTTTCTGGGATCAATTCCTGATCAATAATCGATAAACTCAGATCTAACTGGTCTGAAATGTTTTTGCTGTGCAGTCAGGAAAAGCTTCCCAGCATCCAGATCAGCGTGGAGAATGAGGATGGACGGAGGTTCGTGGGCGCCGAGACGGCGTTATGATCCTCCATCGGGACGGCGAGGTGGGCGGGGCCTGAACGAGGCGGAGGACCAATCAGCTTCCTCCTGGCTGTGCTGCATTTCTCTGATGACACGACTTTTATTTCCTCATCGTTTTACACGGACAATCCTCAGGTTACTTTGTTTTAACTGGCAGACCACTGCTGGCGCTGCGCTCTGATTGGCCGGCTGCCTGGCGCTGTGCTCTGATTGGCCGAAGGCTATCGAACTCAGAGGACGAATATTTATTTCTCCTTCAGTTCCTGAACTCCTCCACGATCCGACATAGAACGGACGTTTTATTTAATCCATCATGCTGATTTCACTTCAGAGGGTGTGTGTGTGTGTGTGTGTGTGTGTGTGTCTTTGTGTGTGTGTGTGTGTGTTTCACCATGTTGCCTGTAGGTTAAACCTCAGCAGATGTTTTGTAGTTTCTTTGTAAATTTTTAATAAATCAGTTGGGAGGAAACATTTTCCACATCATGAGTCACATGACCAACAGGAAGTGACTTCTGGAGGAAACTACGAAGAAGAAGAAGACAGGAAGTAGTTTATTTGACATTAGTGAAATAGATTTGTGACGGAAACACAGTGACTGACGCTGCTGCAGGATTTCAGGTAACAGATTTTATTTCCTGCTTCTGATGATTGAGATCATTTTATTCCTGTGTTCAGAAACAGCCAGCAGGTACCGCTGTAGACCGGACCTGCTCTGGACCGGACCCGACCTGAACCCGACCCGACCTGAACCGGACCTGGACCCGACCCGACCTGGACCAGACCCACTCTGGACCCGACCCGCTCTGGAACCGACTTGGACCGGACCTGACTAGGCCTGGACCCGACTAGGCCTGGACCCGACCCGGACCCAGGCCTGGACCCGATCCGCTTTGGACCCGACCCGCTCTGGACCCGACCTGGACATGACCCGGACCAGGCCCAGACCCGACCCGGACCCAGACCAGGCCCGGACCCAGGCCCGCTCTGGACCCAGACCAGGCCCGGACCCAGGCCCGCTCTGGACCCGACCCGGGCCCGACCTGGACCCAGACCAGGCCCGGACCCAGGCCCGCTCTGGACCCGACCCGGGCCCGCTCTGGACCCGACCCGGGCCCGACCTGGACCCGGACCCAGGCCTGACCCGGACCCTGTGGTTGAGTCTGGTGACGCGGCTGCAGAGCAGCTGCTGTTTCTCCCAAAACATCTTTAAAAATGAATTCAGTTCAATTCCAAAGCACATCATCACAACGCACTTTAAAAACTAATTTCTGCATCAAGTTCAGTTTATTCAGATCATTTTGAAAAGTTTTTCTCCAAGTCAGCAATGCTTTCCAAAATAAAAGTCCTAGAAACACAAAACAATCTAAGTTGAACGTAAAATGTTTTATTATGAAAGCTAACAATTTACACAAAAAATTATTCATATTTTAGAATAAAATTAAGAGAAAATACATTTTGCATAATGAATGAGTCTTTTGTATAAATATGGAAAATGAAGAAATATAGTTTGAAGTTACTTTTAAAGCTGGTCGTTATTAAAAGCAGAATTTATGAAAAATAATTTCTGTTCGAGTCGTTCTCTTCTGGACCAGCAGGGGGCGACAGTGGACAGGCAAGACCGGGCTTTAAGAGGAAGAAACCAGCAGAACCAGAACTTTCCATGTTAGAAAAGATAAGAGCATCAAAAGTTTTAATGAAACAAAAAGAATAATAAACAACGAATGTTTTAAATTATTATTTATTGATCTGATCAGTTTCATGTTTTAGTGTAAAACTGTAAATTATTGAATCCAGATGAGCTGATGGGCCGGTTCTGTTTGGTTCTGATCAGTTCAGTTCTGGTCAGTTTGGTTTGGTTCTGTTTGGTTCGGTTCTGGTCCAAATGCTTTGTTTCAACAAACATCAGATTTTAAAGAAAAATGGAGAAGCTTCATGCAGAATCCTGACGGACCGTTCTGGTACCAGAACCTCTGGTCCGTTTTGATGTCTTCAGTGGTTCTGCAGCTGGATGTGGAGGTGAGCGGTTCTGGCCCGGTTAGAGGACTCTGGCCAGCAGGACGGTCAGCAGCAGGGCGGCGGACAGACTGGACCTCTGGGATTCTCCTGCAGACAAACCCGGGTTAATCTGTGTTTCTGGTTCTGGTTGCGGTTCTGGTGGGCCGGAGCGGACTCACCTGCGGCCCGCAGCATGACCTCGGTGACCCCCAGCGACCCGTTGTGCGGCGCCGGCTGGATGCGCAGCAGCCTGCAGAGCAGCGGGTAGATGTGGATGCTGTCGAACGGGTCGGACACAAAGTTCTGCTTGAAACTCGGGCCGACGGCCCGGAAGATGGTCTTCATGTCCATCTCCCCGTTGTGGAAGCCGTGGTCGCCTTTGTTCACGTAGACGATGAACCTCTGAGAAACAGAGAGGCAGGGTGACCTTTGACCTCACCTGTTGCTCTGGAGCCAAAAGCTCCATTTTAACAATTTTACATCTGAAAAACAAAAACTGATTTCCTGATTTTATCTTTAAACGTCAGATCTTAAAATGAGATCTGAACCCGAAGAACAACAAACCTCAGGTATGTTTTGTTTCTGTGAGGAGAGGAAACAGACTTCAAAATAAGAGCATGAATCTAAAACTCTGCTTGAATGATTCTTAATAGTTTATAACGAAACTTGAACACAGATGTTTAGGTTCAACTGAAGGTTTCTAAAACAGCCGAGTAAATTAGTGCTTCAGAATAGCTGAAAAAATGATCTTGGGAAGCTAAGTGCGCTAAACGTTTCCAAAGTTAGCGAAAGTGTTTTTAGCTAAGCTAAAATTCAGCAGAAGTTTGACGCCTTGACTGAATCGAAGATGCATCTGTTAAATACTGAGTGAATATTTATGCAGTCACTCGTTTAAATGTCCCACCAGCTTTAATTATTTTATCTTGTATAAAATTAATCCCTTAACTAGTTAAATATTTTTGTTTCTCATTATTTTGTATAAATCAGATTTTACTTTGACAGGGTGTCCACACATTAAGCTTTAATTTGTGTAAAAGTAAGAAATTAAAATGTCTTGAATTAATTTAAAATGCAAGTTAAACATGTTAACCACAGGTCTTAAGTTTTGTCGTAGCAGTTTTATTTTTCTACATTTGAGTTGCTTGCAGACATTTCATTGCATTCTGGAGGCAGTTGAGGCTACCGCTAACTACCTGCTAATAAACCCTTGCTAGCTGGTTAGCTAACTTTTTTTTTTTTGCATATGTAATGAGTGCAAACTAATCACCACTTTGCTGAAGAAAGATCGTCTCTCTCATTGGCTCACTTCTGTTCCAGCTCGTTCATTCTGGGCTAAAAGGACGTTACAGCTAAATTGCATATTTTATTTGTAATTAAATACATATCCACTTTTGAACATTTCTGTCATGGTCTTAAATTTCCTTCGTAATGGTCTTGAAAAGTCTTAAGTTGGTGAAGCCTCTAGGAACACTATTGATCTGTTGTGAAACAACCAGAAATTGGCTCTACTTTTAGCAGAGGTTTTCCCTCCGCCTCATCAGATTTAAATGTTACTGAAAATAGATAATGAAATACTTCAATATGAGTATTGGACTTTAGCTAAAAGAATCATCTCGATGGTCTTTTACTTCATCGCTAGCGATATTAGCACAATAAAGCGGAAGTCGTTCAGGGCACTGAGACATAACCGAGTCTTTCTGAAGCCAAAGAGTAACGTATTAATAACACAAACGAACAGAACAATTCTTCAACACCACTGGGACCAGGACTGTTTCCACACTGAGGTTCACTCTGGGCCTGCAAGGTGAGCCTTACCGAGTTCAGGTTGAACCCCAGGTCCGCCACGACCACGATGGGAGGAAGCCGCTTGCTTCTCCCCAGATGGAAACTCTCCGGGATCTCCTGTTTCTTGTAGACGGTCAGATTGGGAGCGTTGGACAGAGCGTCGTAAACCTCCTGGTCCTTCCCCGGCCGCGGCGTCACGATGCCGAAGCCGCCGTAGTCCAGGATCTCGAAGGAGGCGAGCTCCAGCAGGTTCAGGTACTTGTTGAGGACGATCTCGTCCACCAGCGGCCGCTTCTTGACGGTGGTCATGCCGTGATCTGAGGTGATGACGACGTCCAGGCTGTCGTCCAGGCCGTGCCAGCTGATGGCGTCGCGCAGGTAGCCGACGGTGCGGTCGATCTGCTGGATGACGGTCTTCCTGTCCGGGTGGTCCGGCCCCTTGTTGTGGCCCACGAAGTCCGGCTCTCCGTAGTACAGGGTCACCAGGTCGAAGTCCTCCTCTGAGAACCAGCTCAGAACCGTGTCGATGTTCTCACGCCATTCTGTCTCATTGGTGTAAGGGTGGCCGGGCTCTGCCAGCCGAACTCTGTTGACGCTTTGACCCCCGTAGGTGGCGCCGCCTCCCGGGAAGAAGAACGAAGCGGTTTTCAGACCCTGAAAGAAGGAGATCAGTTTGATTTACTGGTTTATCGTCACGTTTGGAGCTCCTGCAGGCCGGTTCGCCTCGACTCGCCTGGTTCTGAGCCGTGATCCATAACGGCAGCACTCCGTTGTCCCACCACTCCGACCTCTTCAGGGTCTCTTTGAAGGGAAGTTTTAGGTTTGTTGTTTCGTTGAACATTAAGTTGTGGACAACTTCGTGGTCTTCTATCCATCTACCTGAGACGAGACATTTAGCTCTGTGATTCTGGAGAAAAATGATCAGAAATGTCTGCAAGGTCCACTGTTATGCTGCCATCTGGTGGTTAGATTTAGCTGTTCAGTGAAGCAGTGGTGATCAGGTTGAATTCAGGTAAAATGGGACATTTAAAGGTTTACCCAGTGTCACATTTTTTATACTTAGTTTAAATATTTTTTGCTTACTAAATATTTAGT